GGCGGCTTGGAGGAGGGGGCAAGGCGACGGCGACGGAGTCCGGCTCGGACTCACCGTCCGAGTCGGCGGCGGCGGCTGGGCCGGCCTGGCTCGGCTGGGCCCTAGGCCCAGTCGGGCGCGGGATTTCTTTTTATAATTCCGCCGACAGAAGAAAAAAAATCCTAGAAAAATAAATAAAAATCTAAAAATGCCAAAACAAATTTTCACCGTCTAAATAAAATATTTAGGATGAGTTGAACATTTTCTTGGCCCTAGAATGCAATTTTGAAAACATGCAATTTTTCTAATGCAAATAAAATCCGAATAAAACCAAATAAAATTCAATAAATGATTTTAATATTTTTCCTCCAATATTTCAATTATTTTGGAGAAGTCATATTATCTCCACTCGTTTTATTTAATATGAAATATTTTTTGAAGAGAAAAATTATTAAAATCAAAATCCTCGTTTCATTATTTGATAAAAATCAAATATGAAAACCGGAAAATCCCCAACTCTCTCCGTGGGTCCTTGAGTTGCTTAGAATTTCGAGGATTGCGAAACGGAAATGCAATAAATCATGATATGCATGGATGATCTATGTATAACATTTCAAATTGAAAATTTGGGATGTTACATTAGGCTAGTTTTTGTAGTACAGGGAACCATGAAATTTACTGGAAGCTTTTGGTGATGTGAAGTGGAAGCATGCAATGGATGTATAGTATTTTGCTCTCATGAAAACTGAGATGTGGCACGTAGTTCCTTTTTAGAGGGGATACAACGTCATTGACTGTAAGTGGTTGAAAGAAAATTTAATGGTATCGTTGACATGTACAAGGCACATGTAGAGCACCATTATGGTATTAACTACAAAGACACTTTCAGTCCCGTAGTCAAGGCAACAACAATCAGATTAATTCTTCCCGTTGTTGTGTCAAGAGGGTGGTGTATGTGACAGTTAGATGTGCACAATGAGTTTCTTCATGGCTTTCTGAAAGAGGAGGTCAATATGAGGCAACCATAAGGATATGAGGATCTCAAGAATCTGTTTTTTGTGCAAGCTAGATAAAGCATTAGATGGGTTAAAACATGAAGCAGGTACATGGTACACCCGTGTACTCACTGAATTACAGTCACTTGGTTTTACCCCCTCAAAGGTAGAAATGGAATAACCATATTTGTGCTTATTTATGTTGATGATATTATTGTCACAAGCTCATGTCCAAAGGTAGTTGAAGCCCTACTCCATGATTTGCATTGGGATTTCTCATTGAATGATCCGGGAGTCTTGCATTACTTCTTGGGAAAAGAGGTAACACCAGTATACAATGGGATTATTTTATCTCAAGGAAAATATATTGCAGACACAACTAGAAGAATTGGCATGAACGATTGTAAGCCAGTCACCACATCTTTATCTACTTCAGAGAAATTGTCAATGACAGAGGGTGAAATACTTGGGGGAGAAGACTCTACCAGATATAAAAGCATAGTTGGTGCATTGCAATATCCAACACTAACTAGGCCTGATATATCATCTTAGTAAATAAGATATGTCAATATCTACATGCTCTTACAATTGTTCATTGGTCAGCAGTAGAAAGAATCATTAGATATCCCAGATATACATTCTCTGCTGGACTCAAAATTGTGAAGTCATACTCATCTCTTGTAAGTGTATTTTCTGATCCTGATTGGGTAGGCTATCCAAATAATAGAAAGTTCACCAAAAATTTTGCCATATTTTTTTCTATGTAATCTTGTCTCACGGATTGCAAGAAAACAAGATGCAACATCAAGGTACAACACTGAGGCAGAATACAAGTCTCTTGCAAATGTAACAGAAGTAATTTGGGTGCAATGTCTGTTACAACTTGGTATTAATCAATCACAAACGACAACCTTATGTTTTGATAATCTTGATGCCACTTATCTGTCAGCAAATCCTGTATTTCGTGCTCGGACCAAACATAAGTTAATTGTAATTTTGTCCGAGAAAGAGTATCAAAGAAGTTACTCAATATTTGGTTTATACCCATAGGAGATCAAGTTGCAGACGGGTTTACTAAACCTCCCATAGTAAGGCAGCTAGAAACTTTTCAGCGCAATCTCAACTTAGACAAGTTTGATTGAAAGGGGATGTTGAAATACCTATGTAATATTCTTGTGCATGTACATTTTTATATTCATCTTGGAGTTGTTGTAACCCAGTTCAGATTGTTGTACAGATTGATCATATCTCTTGTATAGTTATCGTAGAGATTAAGTCTCGCACAATGTGAACCAACCTTTGTAAATCTCTCCCATTATATATACACGCGCACGAGTTCCTACTCCGACATAGCAATCTCTTCACCCAATTTCACATATGGCAATCAAAGAACAGTGAGAGTGTTGACATATTGGTCAATGATGACACTGCTAGGAGGAGCGTGCTTCACTTGGTCCAAAAAACCTGCTCAATGGTTGCACATCTCTTGAATCATACCCCATTCGTTTGTGAGAGATTTGAGACACGATTCGATTTATGCCCAAGGTGTTGATGGAAATACTCGATGCGCCTCTAATAGTTTGCATTCGTTTGATTTTCCTAGCGAGCGCATCTAGTGTGATGTCTTGCCATGCCCTCAAAAGAGCAACATCCTCTTTCATTCTATAGTTTGCGGCCAGAATTGCTTTCCTTCTCGACGAGCATCCAACTATTCAAAATGCACCACTGATGTGCCATCAAGATGAAAATCATTGGTCGCAACGGAATCACCCATTATACTATCTAAAAATGATTCATTATTGATCATCGATCCCTCGAATGCACAAAATCATCACTAAACACAAATATTGCACAATTACCACCACTCTTTCATGATCACATTACATTCAATTGAACCATCCCAAAGACAAGATAAGGGAGGGTTTTTTTTAACTCATTGGCAAATCTCGGAGTGTGTCGGGTAGGTGCCTGAGTTTCACACGCCGTAGGGACGATCGGCCTTTGTGGGCAAAAACCGCAAAATCGTCGTGCAGCCAATTATTGTGGCGACTGATCATATATGACCGCTAGAGTCGCTCTCAGATGACGGCTGTGCCAGGATTATAGGAAACGAATTTCGTTGTGAAAATCATGCAAAACAAAGGGGACCCAGAGATCAATCATACTTTGAGTATTTTCTGCGACAAACATAGTGTCGTACGCACCATTTTTCTGTTAGTCCGGTCGGGTGTCACATCTCTTTCTTTCTTTTCCCCTTGCAAGCTTGATTCAGTAGCTCACTGTATTGGAAATCTGGATACATGGCTCATATTGGCTCAGCCACTGCTTACTGTACTTGCAAGCACGTTGGGCACTTCCTAGCCAGGCAATGTCATCGGGACTGCAATTTTCTT